TGCCGTCAAACAAATCCAATCAACTTAGGCCCTTGATGGCAATTTGCAACAGGTTGAGTAAGCATCCACCTATTGTTTGAACTGATTTTCTGATTGGCATTTAATGGGACTATCACAGAGAGAAAAATACGCTAATAAAAGGCAAAAAGATTGTTGTCAGATTGTGAGAAAGGCCTGTTATCAAGTTCTCCCAAATTTGTCCATCATTTAAAAAGCTAAGAGAAATGAAATGTTCAACCTGCCTGTCCAAAAATTATCCAATCCATCCAGAGAAAATAACTCTCTACTTATAAAGCTGGTGTTACAGTCTGACAACTTTCTAACAAATATATTTGTTTTTCTCTGGAGCAAAAGTCTGATTATAACAACCTCATTACTTCCATCTGTCTCGGTCTTCCTGGGCCTTCAGCAGGTGCATGTCACTGTCTTATCATGACTGGTCTGGGCTTCTGTCAAGATTATTTTTACTCTGTGCTGCTGTAAGCATCATTCCTGACAGATTATATGAATTAAAGCCTTATTATGGGCTCTGGCCAGGAGCAATATGTACTGGTTATTTCTTATGAGGGCAGTTGGGGTGAGTCAGCAGTGACTGTCTGGACTACAGTAGCTGGACCTCTGGAGAAAAACCTCACACTCATCTACAGTAAACAAAGACAGCAAGGTCAGAAGTATGGCTCTGGAAATAGACAGTAATCATTTTAAAAAGGAAGCTATTGATATTGTGCCATAAATAAGCATATGGTCAGTGATGTGCACAAACAGGCTAGAATGAAGGTCATATTTTGATCAACCACAGACTTCATGGCTTAATTTGCAACTCATGGACGGAAACATGATCGTAGCTCATTCTAGAGACGGTGAGTGATGACTCACATCACAGGAAGATCCAAAAGCTATCAAGAGGTATTTTGGGGTACTGTGTTTCCAGCAGACAAAGTTGAATTTATAACATCCTGCATAAATGTGGCATGGATGTTGTGTGCAACTGTATTCGTGGTGCTGATAAATCTAGCTCTTGTGAACATTTGAAGCAAATCAGGACAGATTCGCACAGGCTAAAATCATAATTTTGTAGCTGTTTGTTTAGTTTTTAAAGTCCCACTTCATATTTTAAATTTATTTATTTTTACTAAAAGTGTTTTCAGTGGTCTTTCAATTGTGATTATGAAGTTCATAGCCAATATCACATTACCTGTGTCATTTTTAGTGGCTTTTCTTCTGCAGAGCTCCAGTAGCTCATTAGCAATTCACCTCTGAGTCGTGGGCGGAGACAGTGCTGCACTCCTCTTCACGCTAGCCTTTTCTGTGTGGAGTTTGCATGTTCTCCCTGTGTCTGCGTGGGTTTACTCTGGGTACTCCAGTTTACTCCCACATCCCAAAAACATGCAGAAGTGGGGTTAGGTTAATTGGCCACTTTCAAATTGCCCGTAGGTCTGAATGTGAGTCTGGATGGTTGTTCGTCTCTATATGTCAGCCCTGCGACGAGCTGGTGACTTGTCCAGGATGTCCCCTGCCTTTGCGCGAAGATGCTGGGATAGGCTCCAGCCCTCCCATGACCCCCAATAGGAATAAGAATGAATGAATGAATGAATTAATTAAGAATTTTAATCGAGGATTGAGGACCTTTAGACTGGTGAATGCACATGTATTAGCTAAAGACTAATAATGCAGTGCACTTGGTCACTTATTGTTTGTTTTGGTCGAAACGTTTTATGCTGCTGTCTTAACAAGAACTAACTTTGAATTGAGATGTATCTTAACAGGAAGAAACCTGAGAAAATAATAGTGAAATATGTACATAAATAAATGCTTTCTAGAAATATCACATTAATCTCTGTATCATGATGAAAATCTGAAACTGTGACAGCCTAAGTGGCCAGGATGCTACGCTAGCTTTTTCATATGTAATACTGAAGAAGTAAAAGGGGCTGGTAAAAATTTAGAATCATGGGCCAGAAGTGCAAGTATCAGAACGCACATGGTTTGATAGCATCTGTAAGACGATGTCGGAAGAGAAAACACAAAACAGTCAGTTTGGTTCATAAGAATTAATCAATATTTTATATTCTTTTGTAGCAAAATGATTTCACACAGAAACAGTTTTTTTTTTTTTTTTTTCATCTTTTTGTCCTTGAACTTCAGGTGAGAATCATGACTATGTCAAGTACACACTTAAATTGTATTTTTAGTTAGCAGAGTGCAAAGGGATATAACACAGAGTAGCAAGCGGAGAGAGCAGATGAAAGAGTCAGTTCAGCTAAAAATGATTACTCATTAGGTGGTATTTATCCATGTAGATATTTTGACTTCATTTAATCTGGATTTGAGATATCCACCTTTGCCATTTCTTTACTTACTTTAAAACAGTGAAAGGTATATTTTTTGTTTTTATTAAAAACACTGAAAACTTAAAATTAAAAAGTTACACCATGTCAGTTACTGCCAAAAATAACTGATATTACTTTATTTCTTGATCACTAATCCCCCATGATCATTCTGGGAAACAATATATAGAGACAATACTTTTATGATTTGGACATTCTTCATGATAGGTTCTTGTTAGTCTAGTTTTCCTAGTTTTATAATTTAGTTGTTTTTTTTCTGTATATATTTTTCCTAGTGTTTCTCTTGCCATGTGTTCATTATTCTTATGTTACTGTTGTTCATCTTTGTCACTGTTTGGTTTCTAGTTCAGTTTTCTGTGTTTCCTGTTTTATTTTATAAAAGTCAATCCTTGTTAGTCAAGTCTAGTCTTACTTCCTCAGTTTTCCCTCCTTGATTACTCACTGGTCTCACCTGTGTCTTGTCTGTCTCACCAGTTGCTTGTTTCCCTGTGTATGTAGCCCCCATCTTTTCCTCTTCCTTGGATGGTTCATTGTCAATGCTGTCCATGCCTAGTCAACGTCAATTCCCTGTGGTTCTGCAGTTTTTCTTGGACTTTGTAGACTAGGTTTTTGTTCTTTCTCACCTTTGGGTTCATTAAATCCTTTAATTTTCAATCTGCATTTTTCAGATTGAGGATGAGAAAAACAGAAAATTCGGGTATAAAGTCATAAATGCAGTTATAATATTACAATGATGAAGCCGTAAGGGGGGAAATGGTTCATTTACAGCTGCAAATTTACAAGTATGAAGTCCTAATTTCACAAGTATTAAGTAGTTATTTTTCTAGAGAGGCAAGGTGAATTTTCAGCAAGAGGTTCATCTGTAAATGTATATCTATGTCTTTTGTGTGAACTGACCCTTTAAAACTGCCTCTACTCTACCTGTATAATGTAAACTCCCCTTTCAATGAGCCAACTAACAATGACTGAGTTGGTACACCACAGTAAAGCACCTTCCCACTGTTTGCTTCACATGAAAATAAAAGTACTACAGCACAATTTTCCCTTGTTTACATTCTCACCCAGTTATTGTACAAATAAAAAAGCCAATATACAGATTGGTACACCCAGGAAGGAAAACAATGATAAAAAAAATGATGACCACTCCACATTTTGAAATGCAGCGGAGGCCCCTACATATCAAGAAAGGCATCAAAACGTGTTGGGATGTCTCAGATACTTTGGGGAGTAATCTGAAAAGCCACTAGTTCAAAGTTTTCTTCTGCAATGTACAGCTTTGAATGAAAGTGAATGGAAAATAAAGGGCTTTCTTGATCATTAAATCCAAATGATACATAAACCAACAAAGGTTTTTGTACTGTGCTTTCTGATGAAAGAGATTCCCAAGTATTTTGCAGTATTAGGGCCTTAAAAATTTGCCTCCCGAACAGCTTTATGTTGCTCATAAACTTCAAATTGAACTCAATGCAGCAAATAATCAGGCTAAATGAGTAATTGTTATACTCTCTTGTTTGTGTAACATAAAGGGAGTCACAGCTGAATAATACAAACTGCTTTGGCTCGGCAATGATTAAGAGGGCTTGTTGGATTTTAAACTCCATTCCCACCAGGTGGTTATCACGTGCTGATGACCTCTGAAACCTTAATCAGAGGCAAACACTCTGTTTGCGTCTCTGGCCTGTTAGCCCTCAGGGGCCACTGTCAGCAGTGCTTACCCATGGCGAGAGTACAAAAGTATTAATGAAGACATTGTGTCATAACAGAAGTCGACCTGAGCAGGAAGGTGTTGTGCTTGATTGGTTGAATAATTCTTTGTGTGAACTTTATTGTTTTGGGTCATTTGGGTTCATACTCTATTTTAATATTTGATATGAATAACCTCATATGATACATAACCTGAGGTAGAAATACATGACGGTCTCACTGTAGTTCTGTGCTGTTGATAACTAGGGCATAGGGCAGTACCATGGTTTCAAAATAGACATCTTTTTTTTATTTGTTATTGGTTCAAATTGGCCCTAATGTGCTGTTAACTAACAGGGATTGGCTCTATGTAATGGGCTAGCTCTGTGTGTGTGAACAGAAATAACCTCCAAGTGGCTGCCTGCTGATGAATCACCTCAAATAAATAGTAAAAATGATAGAAAAACTCATGAAAATAAAAATGACTTTGTATTTATTCACCCTTCAGTCCTTCTTTTTATGTTTTAGTAGTCCCCAAAGAACAACACTGAGGGCTCAAGACATTGTGATACTCATATACTTGACCACAGCTGTGGTTAATCCTCTTGGCGTTCAGTTTTTGATAAAGACATAGTAAATCCACTTCTCACTTTCCCCCTTTCAGAGATACCCTCATGTGCCCTGTGGATAAGAAACCATCCTATCAGCAAGATTGAAGAACTCTTGCCTCTTTGAATCTCAGCAGTATTTCAAATACTTCAAATGACAGTAAGATGCTTGAGCTCATGGCAGGAATCTTTGCAGATGAGTGTCTTTTCTTACATGGTTGCTCAGAGAGTGCTCACATGGAGGAAATTCATGCGATACCCAAAAGCAGATTCCATCAGAATCATCTCAGCCTCAGCACTCATGCACTCCTGACATAGATTTATTGTTCAGCCTCTGATCTCATCATTGATTCAGCTGCTCTCAAACTGTGCTTTCCATAACCCACTCCGAGCTCTCAAACGTGGGCTTCTCGTCCTCACTGTCGTCATACTGCAGCAGCATGCCGTTCACAGACAGACTGCGCTTAGTCCAGATGTTGCTAATCCTGCGAGGTTGGCTGCTGCGACTCTGTGAGGCCCCCACGTGACCCATGTCAAAGGAGTGGCTCCTTTTGGGCTTACCCTCCTGGGGCAGCCCGAGAAGACGTCCCAGCATGGTGGTGGACTCAGCCCTCCCCAGTAGGGGTTCTTTATCAGACAGGGGTGCCACTGCCACTGTTGTCATAGCAGTGGATGAAGAGGAGGGGCCAGAAGCCCCTTGGTGGTCCCTCACTACCCCTCGCAGCTCCAGTGAGGTGAAGGCCCCTAAAAGGTTGTCCAGGTTTGGTCGTGCCTTGGCACCGTGCCTCCTGAACTTGCTGCTGGGCAGCGTGCTGCATTCACTGCTCTGCAGGCTGTAGCGGTCGTTAACCTTCCTTCCTGTTTGGCTGTCCAATGAATGAGAGGAGGATGAGGATGAAGAGAGGCTGCTCTGAAGGGATCCACACTTGAACTCTACCATCTCCTCACGCATGACCACCACTGTGGACTTGACCTGTGGAGGGGCACCGTTGAACCTGTTTAACCCCCCATTGGTCTGTGAGTACGTGTTGCTCACAGTGGGTAATTTATTAGTCTGGATGCCGCTGGTCACCTTGTACCGCACCATGAGGATGATGATAAACACCAGCAGAGTGGCGACAATGATGCCACCAATGACGAGGATCATGGTGCCACCCAGAAAGCCACTGTGAAGAGACTGGCACTGCGGGTAGTCCTCGGTGGTGATGAACTGGACACAGCCCACTATGTTAGTGGCAGTGAGGGTAGTGGCAGTGTCTTCCCAGATGGCCAAGACGCACAGGTCATACTGCATGCCCGAGACCAGGTTTGTGACTACAAAAGCTCTGTTATTTGTTTGAATCATCCTGCAGAGAGACACAGAGACAGAAAGAGACACCATTAAGAAACAGGACTTGCTTTGGGAGTTCAAGACGAGGCTAAAAAACTTCAGGATAAAAAGCAACACCAGCTTAATCTGTTACACTGCGGGAATGATTTAAAAAAATGAAAATGAAGTATGCTAAGTAGCTATTTATATGCAGAAAGTAATTCAGAAAAATGACTTCATTGGTCCCATTATATCCCATTTGTTATGCATGAAGCAATAGTAATGAGATAAGTCTTCAATGGCCACTCTTTGAATATTGTTTTGGCCTAATGTAATTTCTTGTACATTTCATGTAACTTGCGTGTAGCTGTTTTAATACTCTCTGTTATTATTCCAGATGTTTAAATGTGACTGATAGACTCAGCTTCACTGCTCTTGACTGGATTAACAGACGGCGCTGCAGAAGTTTATATCTTAAGGAAGTAATTGGAAACATTTTAACTCTGAATAGATTTTGTGTTTTGTGGATAATAATTTATTAGACCAACTTTAAAGTCTATTTAGATAGCAGAGCAGACACTGGAGATGCCACGTCCAAGAAAAACTTTCTTTTCTCATGAAGTTATCTATCAAAATGTATGCAAAGAAACTAAATAAAACATGAGTTCATTTATCTTATTTTCAGATGTAGTCAATGTGTCAATCCTAGGAGACATCTGGCGCACCAAGCTGTAGCAGACGACTGGTTTCTGCTTTCTCATCTTTAATTCACCCTCAAATGAATGCAGTGACTCTGGTCACTGAAAGGAGATGGGGGGTGAATTTCTGAATGTCTGGACTGGATAAACATTCACCCCTCTGTTCTTGGTTGGAGACTCTCAAATTTGACACCTTAACCTTAAAGGTACCTTAGAAGATCATGGAAACTCAACTCAAGAGTGCATCAAAAGCATTCATCTGTGAAACAGACCACAGCCATAAATCTTCGGAGTGGCTGTGTTTCCCGTGACTCTCTTTAGGTGCAGAATAAAGAAAATAACTGCAAATGATTCAATTTCAGGTTTAATGGACACTTCACCAGGATTTTCCATCTGTACACCACATCAGCAGTCTTTGTCCCATTTGTTTAGCATGTTTATAAGCTCTACTGCGAACTTCACAAATTTATTCCAGGTTTTCTATGGACCAAGAGCTCCCCCTAGTGGTGTCTTCCGAATATGATCTTGGTCATTCCTTTACTTAATTTTGTTGTGTGTTGTATACTTTGTAGCTTAGTGAATGGTTTTCCCAAAATAGGTTAGCAATATTAGAAATAGTAACTGAAAACTCTTTCATACATTTGTTAAGAATGTTTTGATCGTTTTAACGCTATGCCTGTCTACCTCATCAGAATATATATCTTAATCATTTACTAAGTACAGATTGACAAGGTTATATTCCAATTCAGTGTTATCACATATGTGTGTCCTATGCATGATGGTGTTTCTGTTAGAAAGATAACTTGGTTTCATCCCTCTCTAACTTTCAAAGAGCTTCTTAATCCTCCGGTTATAAACTACCAGGAAACGGGTGATTAAAGTTCACCTTGCATTTAATGTTATGGTTTGATGCATCTGCTTATAAGAAATGATGAAGTGAAACTATATCATATGTGATTTGATAAACAGCATTAATCATAGTAAGTGAGTAAATTAGACCTAACTCGCTTATTAAACCCGCAAGTTAAAATTAATTCACTTGTTAGCCTGATCAGCCCCCGCTGTGAACGATGGGTGCAGAGCTCGCCCCCCTCTTTTAGTTCACACCCCACATCAAATGGGTTAAAAGTGCTGACCTGACTCTTATCAAGCTCTTACCATCTTTGCTCTTATCGTCTTTTTGTCTCGTGTGTTTTTATCTCCATCCATCGTCTTGTAACTTTTTCCTGTTTTTTTTATTCGCCTTAAGTTCAGACTTTTCCAGGAACTTGGATGAAACCATACCCAAGTTCCTTTAAAACATCAGTAATCAGCTGCGCGCATAGAGTACCTAAGTCTAAGTCTTTTATTTTGTTTAGTTCACTAAAGTGACTCCTGAGAATAATATCAAGATTATTTTCTTGAGTTTTCCTGAACGCCTGATAATGACCAACCTTCATCATCTGCCGAGCTGCATTTGCCACAAGATTCTGGAAGGATAGCGCTGTGGGACCCACGGGGCGCATTTGGTGTGCATTTGGGTGTGACGACAGAGACACCATTCAGCCGGCTGCTAGCTGCCGTGCAAAGACCATCTATAGCCTGGGCCTTCAGTGATCCACTCCAAGATTGCCACTGAGAACCATCATCAATAAGTAGGCAAACACACCTGGAAGAACCGGTGATGCTGTCAAGTGTTCAGAGCTTATAATTTTAATTATAGTTTAGTTTGTTTAAATTCCTCTTCTAAATTTATCCTCGTAACTCCGTTAATGTGGGTTAAATTTTTCCTTATTCACTCACTATCATTAACCTCTGGTCTTTGTTTCAGTTCAAACCATTCCTTCATTTATTTACTAGATGTTCTTTTAATTTCTCATTATTTGATCGCCATTTATTGAATTTATGTCATCACCTAGCATTTGTCAATAAATTGTCCATTAATTAATTTTAAGTTGTCGTCTCTTAGTGGTTAATATCCAGAAGTGAAGTCCCTGAAATGAGAATTCCGGCCTCAGATGTGAGATTGATTTAAATCTGTTTAAGACTGATTCAACGTTTGATTACTCAATTGAACTTTGTTTGTCTTCTTCCCACCAGAAAGGTGGGTGGTGCCCCTTCAACGAGTGAATAATTGTCATAATTTAATTCCATTATCTTAGGACATTCACTTTGAATTCAAATCGCTACAAAGCAAAAATATGGAACAAAGGTAGGCTCTTCAAATTTTACTCCTCAGCCATCAATCTAAGTTCTTCGCTGTACTCGGCTAGACAAAGAAAAGCTGCCAATATTTTAGTGTTGGTTACTGTAAGCTGCTGCCTACATCTCATGTTGCAGGGGTCAGTGAGACCCTACATCACCGAGATGTCAAAGCAAACAGGACCCCATGCCACACCAATTAAATGCTCAAAATTTCTTTTTTCATTTTGGCATTGATTTAATTCATATGTTTGAGTTCAGCAGCATGAGTGTCACTGCAACAAGGAATGTCTCTACTTTTATTATGTGTCTTCATCGAGAGTAGGACTCATTAATGGGTCCCACAGATACACAACAAAGGCTTGATTTTCATTTCTGCTTCTAGACTGGTTGCCAAATTCTACTGAGCCATGTGCGTCTCTCAACCAAAATAGACCTTGTATAAATAGTATTTGTCACTACCACTGTAGAAAACTTCCAAAAACTGAGATTATTGGTAAATCAAAAAGCAACTTTTGGGTTGGTATCTCCTCAGGTACAACTCAACTGAACATTTATATTTTTCTCGCCATCTTTATAACTGTTTTCAATCGGTTATGTAACTTTTAAACTACCAGAAACATTGGGATTTCCAGCATTACTAATCTCTTTTATATTCAGTGTTACTAATGTGCAAAGTGTTTTATTACTTCTCAGTGTGGGAAATGTCATGTGTGGCATGTGTATGAATAGATCCCTTATTGTTGGCTGTTTTCCTTGAGTTCATGCACTCACAGCTTTCATCCCTCTAAAGTGACTCCACCACAGAGTTTTGACACTATTCGGGATGCAGTCCATTATTCATACTTAATTGCTTTTTTTTCCATAACTAGGAAGACACAGCGTTGGCTCACGTTTGAGAAAACTCCCATAATCGCCCCTCTCCCCCTGGTGGCTCTGATTGATTTTTAATCATGCTATTGCCTGAGTGCGGGCAGTGCCCTGGGAAACTGTGTCATCCAACTAAAGGAACAGCGGTAGGTGAGCATGTGCGAACCAAGTAGTCATATCAATATTAATCCAAAAACAGCAGTAGGCCTTTCTCACTCCTTATCTTTTCCATTCAGCCCCTCATTTATCCTCATACATGCAAAAGGCAGTAAGTAAGTGTGTAAGTGCTCATACATCTATTGCTTTAGGTCCTTTTTGCTCCTGTACATTATCTCCCTCATTATGAACCACAAATCCTAACAATTAGGATAAGAAAACCATTAGCCAAATGAGAAAGTGAAATTAAATAGGGATGAAAAAAAAGTGTAGGTAATTAATGTCACAAATGAGGTGATAGGACGATTGAAAGTGTACTGTGGTGGTTTTAAGTGATGGTTCTGGAGTGATTAAAAAAAACAGGGTTTTACATTAAAATAATCAATTTTCGGGCTTCTAAAAATCAGTGAAAAGGAGAAGAATATGCAAAAAGAAAGACATGTTAGATGTATATAAGTGTAATTTCACAGGCATTTCACAGAGTATTTACAATAAATTTGGATGAACCATCCATTGTTCCCATCACTTGGAAAAAAAAAGGTCTCTGAAACTCTTATTGTTCTCTTTTTCTTTACGTGACAATCTGGCACAGAAATCAGATAAACAGCTCATTATTGAATTCACAGGGCTGGTGAGTTACATTCACAGGGTGTGAACAAAGTAATGTCTGTCTTCAATATTATGTGCAGCTCTGAACACGCTCTCTGCCTCTCCATATTCTGTCAATTATCTTTATTAAGCAGCCCTATAGTTGGATAGCACAGAACAGGTGAATTGTATCAGGCTATAACACATGATCAGCTGTTGAGCTGCTTGTTCCTCTGGGACTTTTACAGCAGCTGGGTGTTTGATAGCGACACCACATGGAAGCTACTGCAAAAACAGAATTTTGACAAGCATTTATCGTCACTTCTAGCATGTTAAAACAAGTAACTTTTTAGCCAAAAACTTTACCGGTGTGACTGGTTCAGGTTGAATTAACAGGGGATTAACCTTTTCTGTTCTCAGTTTTAACATTCAATAAACTTTGAATGAAAGTACAGTAATTGCATCCAACATTTCTGCCACTTGTCCTGTTGTTTTTCAGCACAGAAATAATACAAATACAACATACACTGGACTGCAATAATGGCTTGATAATTTCTCGCTCGCCGACTTCTCCGCCATCTGCCATGCTATGTTTTGTTGTCTGTTGGCCTGTGCCGATGACGCCACAGACAGGTCAACTGAATCGAGTAATGCTTAACGTCTTTATTAAAAGTGAAAAAAACTCACATCCATGTACTTTCTGCTGTGCTTAAATCCACTGGGTTATTTCCTAGTATCGATAGAATCGATTTATTAAAACTATTTTAAAACGATGTTAGATTGATATATGTCGTGCGAAAGGCCAACTTGCACGGATCAATGTAGTTGGTTCATACAAATATAAATTGATACATCAATGTTGTAGATGAATCATTACACCCCTAGTATTTTCTATTGATGGATTTGTGTTCTAGGGTATTTTAACACTTGTAGCTTGTTCTCTTTATTCTGATTTCAATGTTAAAACAATCTATTGTTCAATTTATGCCGAATAAGACCATTTTAACAACACATTAGACAAAACATTGTAAGAAGCCAGTTCCGAGCATAGACTGTATATACCATGGACAACTTGGTTCCGCCTACCGCTTGTATATGGATTTGAAGCCAAATAGCTTTCGATATTTCCGGGATTTTTCTTCATTTCCTGAAACCAGCGCTGCGCAATAGCGATGCGCGCATTCGGCTGCGCAGTCGCCGTGAGTTGCTGTGATGGCGCTCGGCTCAAACAGCGTATCCCCCGGGTGAACTACGCAATCCCTGACCGCCCATAGGCTGTATCAGGTGTCAATCATAGAAAACATGAACCCCCTAATAACTTTTAAAAATGGAGCTTCACAGAATAAAGAGGACTTGAGCACAAACCAGTCTTACAATAACTACATGTCAACATCACAAGCAGGGGGGAGAAAAATGTATGTTCTGTGTAATAAATTTGTAAAGTTTGTCCACACCTCCATAACCTTTGCTTGCGGAGGTGGGATTTAGGACCTATACTGCAGCCCATCAACAGAGGGTGCTGTTCTCGGAGTGGCTTCACCCTGAGAGGAGGCAGACTCTGTCAATTCTTTATACAGTCTTTGGTTCCGAGACACCAGTTGATCTGAGCCAGCTCACCTACCAACAGAGAGTGCTATTGGTTCAGCTGGAGCAGCAAGTGTTTTTCACGTGTTTCAAGTATCCAAGTGTTTGAATAGACATTTGGGCACTTGTGTCTATTTGTCAAATATTGGACAATGCTGTCAAAACTACAGAATTTTACAAACTTGTGATCCCCTCATGGTCAGGGGATTAATAAGAAGGGCTCTCACAGTCTGCCAAACAGTGCTGCATAACTCTTCTAAGTTTAATGAATTCCAACAGCTGTATGTAAAGGTACACAGTTAGTCAAGCCAAAGTTGAGGTTCCAGTTGGTCAAGCTAATGACTCTCAACCTTGTAAGCTTCTGTTTCTCTGTGAGAGGTGTCCAATTCAGGTTAACTCATGACTCGTTGTGTTGGTGAACTGGCTGAGCTTAGTCAACTGGCTCCCCAAAAAATGCAAAAAGCAACTAGTATGCATGGCAAACAATTGTTTAATAATTCAAAGGGACAAAGAAAGTGTGACGTAATGATGTCAGGACAACCCTGTAGTGGTATGAAGCCTGAGTGGTGCCACCTAGTTGAACTTTTATTTAATGTCCTTACATATGTGAGTGTTCCGAACATATGGCCCAAAGGAAATGTCTAATTTGAAAGATAGATAATCTAATGTTAATGGTAAATATCTGAAAATCTGTCAGATAAAGTCTATTGCTCTCAGAAGATTCCTAGTCCTAGATTTCCTAGTTCCTAGTGGTCTTTTTTTGACCCCCCCCCCCCCCCCCCCTAATATTGACTCAGACCTGAACAATAAGGTTTCTCTTTTATATTTCCTGTGCAAATATCTGGTTTGACTGTCACTTCTGTCTCATATGACATAGGAAATTGATTTCACCGAGCCAAAGATCCCCATGCTGTCGTCTCCAGGCTTTGGACTTGAGCAGCTTAGGAAGAATACATATAAATGACAGTCTATAATCCTTTTTCTTCTTGGATTCCTAATTAATGTTTCAGGGCAAGGATTTCATATTGAGTTTCACTTTTCTAAAAAAAAAAAAAAAAAAAAAATGCACTCACTGTTCATTCTTTTAGCGAACACAATTATCTTTCTAGGGGAAAGAAAAACCTCAAGAAGGATTAAGAAAAATGAATGTTGATCTCTGTCTTGGTAACACTTCAGAGAAAATCGAGCGTTTCAAGTACTCACCCTGCAAACAATTAGCAATCGACTCAAGAAGCCAAGCAGAGAAAATTCTGGGGCTTGAGATCACACCTCAGACTTCATTTAACATTATGACCAGAAAGGTCCAGGCTTTTACTCGGGTGTAATTGAGGTTCATTAATCATTCTTACCTGTAAATGAGGACCTCATCTTCAGAGCAGTTGTACTGAAGCTGAAACATTTTCACCTTTGGAGTTGACTTCACAACAGTCCACTTAACCAAAGCAGAGACGGCAGTCACCTCTGATACAGACACCACCTTCTCTGGCAGAGGTTTTGGCTCGCCTTTGCTGATCTTGGTAGAGCTAGTTATGTCTGAAAGCCCTGATTTAGACTGTGTGGTACGGTTTGTACCATTACCCAGATGGGGGAGCTGAATGATTGAGAGCTCTATGGATGCTGTAGATTCCCCAGCAGCATTGGCAGCAATGCAAGTAAAGGTCCCGTAATCCTTGGACGTGGTGATTGTGATGTCCAGGGTTCCATTCTCATACACCGTTGCTCTAGAGGAGTTGCTGATCAAACGGTCATCAGGAGCAACCCAATGCACCATTGGCATTGGATCACCAACTGCTTTGCAGCGCAGGCTAGCTGTTTGGCCTTCCAGCACTAGTAACTTGTGTGTATGTTGAGTGATCAGAGGGGGCTCACAAACAAACTCCTCCTCACGAACAGACCAAAAGTAGCGGCCCTTTAGACTAGCAGGAGAAGCACAAGTTTCCATATCATCCTCACGCTCCAGCCTTCGCAGCCAAAGCACCTCACAGTTGCAGTGCAACGGGTTTCCGCCAAAGCTGAGAGAAAGTGCAGGAGCAAAAGGAGTACTTGCCACTATGTTACTCTGAGAGCGTCCAAAAATGGGATCTGGAGGGAGTTTCTGGAGTCGGTTGGAGGTGAGATCCAAGCGAGCTAGTTTTTCCAAATCTGTAAAAGTCCCCTCGGCAATAAAGGAGATAAGGTTATGATCCAAACTCATCTGGTGAAGGTTGACCATCTTGCGGATGGCCTCCCAAGGCACACTGCGCAAGTTGTTATATGACAAATCCAGATCTTCCAACGTCAGTAACAAGTCATCAAAGGCTACTTTGTTAATTCGACCCAACTGGTTGTTGTTGAGGATCAGATGTTGCAGGTTGATCAGTCCTCGAAGGTCATCAGGTCCCAGCTCAGTTAGCCTATTACTGTCCAGATGCAGCGATCTCAAGGTCTCCAGGTCAATGAAGGAGAAAGGCTGAATGGCGCCGATGGTGTTGCGAGACAAGGTGAGATCTACGAGGCTTGACATGTTGGCAAAGTCCTGAGTGGAGATCTTAAGGATGAAGTTGCCACCCAGACGTAGCTCCACAGTTCTCCGGTCAATGTCTGGTGGGACAAACAGCAGGCCTTTGGAGGGGCACAAAGTCCCCAGAGACTCTGAGAGGTTCTGGCAGACACAGTATTTGGGACATGCATGGACCATCGTAACTGTGGTTCCCAGAAGCAGGAGGCTGAAGACCACTTTGTCCATGTTAGTTCATACAAAGGGGACCTATGAAACAGAAAAAAAGACCTGTTAAGAATTAAGATCATGTTTTGTTCAATCATATTATTTCCATCTTTTTTCTTTTTCTTTTTTTTTTTTTAAAATATTGATGATCTTTACAGAATTTCAGTGAGGACTTTGCAATGGTATAAATTGTTTGCACAGTGTGGAGATCTGTTCTGAGAATCATTGTCCTTCTACATGCAGATGTGGAGTGCCAAAAGCTGAGGCAGGGTGAGCACATCTTTTATGAGGAATTGAGCACCTCAATTCCTCATAAAAGGTAAAGGTGGTGAGAGCATCAGCAAATAACCCGGGGTGCTCGTAGGATCAGATACATAAGCAAAAGGGGGAGCTGGGATGGAGGCAGGAGTAGTTTCAGTGTTGACATTTGCAAATTGGGTATACGTTTATGGACTAAGCTGTCAGCGGATCTGGGCTGGTGTTGGGATCAACTGATGTGATGCTCTCAGAGACTGTTTTTTAGGTGTTTGCATCCTTGGTATGTGGGTATTGATAAAAGTTATTGTAGAAAACTGTTTTTATTAAAGTGACCAGACGTCCCTGATTTCTGGGGACAGTCCCCGAATTGGATGACCTGTCCCGAGAAAATCTCCTCGATTTAGCGTTTCACGAATGAGAACAACAATGTTGCGTGTAGGCTAGAACAACGGTTATTACAGTAGCCGAATGGGTAGGAAGCACAAGTAAGCAGTCCTGAACAACTGTTTTTTACGGGGGTAAAAACTAAATACTAAATAGTAGTAGTAGTACTAAATAGTTCCGAGATGTTGTCTGTGATCACACAAGCCACCCCCCCCCCCCCCCCCGCGCCGCCCCCGCCCCGAATGTCCCCGGATTTCATTGCAGACATCTGGTCACCTTAGTTTTTATGTGCTGTGGGCTGGGCTTGACTTTGTGACCTGCCTGAACTAGCACCGTTAACTTCAAACAATAATCTTACATCTGGAGAAACTTCTACCCACTTTAACATAAAATAGAATAAATAAATTCATAAAAACTTAAATGTGTAGAACCATACATTCACACAGGCCTGATTAAATCCCCTCATGGCCTTGAATCATGAAGACAAAATTTGCTCATTTGATGAGCTGGTCTGATTGTCATCCTTGAAGATTTTTCACATTAAAATTCCCTATTATGATATTCATGTGGATGTGTTTTGCAATGCAAAGAAGGAAAGAGAAATCACGCGGGGATTCTCCGAATGAAGCCCGGATTAAACCGTGCTAAGAAGCTATTTTTAATAACGTACGTGCTCATACAGTAAGCTGTCATTACAGCGATAGTGTTGTGCAGGGACTGGAAACTAGTTCAACTGTGGAGTGCATGCATGTGTGTTAGGAAGAAAATATCATATTGTTTTCCTTGTCATTCCTACACTTTTTCAAGATTCTGTCAGTTTGAAAAAAAAAAAAAAGAAAACACAAGTTACAGATGTTGGATGTAATCAGCTCAGATCTGTGATAATTCAACAGCCTTCACACCTGGCTGGCTCCTTCAAATGGATGGCTACACTAGGCTTCATGCAGCAAGCTTTTAATTCCCCAAGACGTTTGTATCATAAATTCTTATACTCAAACCCCTGGAATCAATTTCAATCATCTGTTTTTTAAGGCAGCTGCATTTTTTATATTAGAAACCCCCACCTTCGAGTCTACCTGCTGCTTTCTTTAACTGCAGGGAGGGAGAGTTGTAATATTTTATGTCGCTGTTATTCGTAGTTTTATTCTTCATTATCACAGAGCTTTGATATGCTGCTTGCACCACGAGGGCTCTTTATCTTTTACTACCCTGTAACACCCCTTCATGTGTAGAGTCCACTTTTCAATAACTCTTTATTACAAGAGGCAATGTGCATAAATAACCTCTCCTTTTCAGTGCCAGGCTGTAATTATATCGTGAAGTGCTTCTGCATCTGTGAGTGCCACAGAAAGATAATGACAATGAAAGGCAGACAGGGAAAAAAGGGGGAATGATTTACCGGAGCAGTAAAAAATCATTTAACCTGAGGAAATCAATCAATAACAGAGGGGAAAAAAACAGCAACTCAACTCCTTTTGTTTTGTCTCGTCTCTTGCTTGTTTTTCCCAAGCTTTCTAACTTCTCAGATTCTTTACTTTTCTGATAACTGGATAATGTTTTGTTCTCTGAATAAATTGACAAAAAAAGCCATCAATATTGTTTTCAATTTGTCTCATAGATGTCAAAAAAAAAACTCACAGTAGCTTTAATTATATTATTACCATTCATAAATATGGAACTTATGAATGCCAATATTAGTCATTGGAGAAGATATCATTGGAAGAGTATAATAATGGAAATCTTTTGATTTTGAATAGAACTGAAGCTTCATACCATACAAGAACCCTTTCTCTCAGCAGCTTTTGTATTAAAACTCAATCAGCACTTTGGGGCAGTATGAGTGAGTCTGTGAAAAGGGTGTTTATTATAGGCAAGGGTTTGATGTGTACTGTTCTGACCCTCTCAGCACTCTGGATCTAGAGATGATAGACAGCTTATCTCATGGACGTGTTTTAATGGACGCCTTTCTACTGTCTTTTGATGTGCCTTTCCTCTGAAAAGAGACAACAGTGGTGGGTAAGCATTTTCAAAAGACATGGGGGAGAAAAAAAATCGAGAAATGCACACAGATTAAGTCGAGCAGGGTGGAAAGGTTCCAAATGATACCCAATCCTGCCCAGGTTTCCAATTAAAATGTGTCATTTGTTGGGATTATCGTGGTTACTTGGCAGAGGGAAACCAGTCTTGTAGAGGCTGGGTTGACCTTTCAGGGATAGGAAAAATTTGGTTACAAAGAGATGAGAATCAAAGATGATGTTTAAGGTCCACATTCATTTATTCATGGCCTTTAAAAGGCTGCAACACCATCTACAATTCTATATAGGGGACATTAATGCTGCTCAAATGCCAAGAAAAATATATACCATACAGTTTCACAGTGCATTATGATGATAACATAAGAACTGGATGGGATTTAGGGAGAAAAATTAATGGTTGCTACCCTTTAGCTGCAATAATAAACTGAATTTCCCTTGGAGAATGAATACTGTTCCTATTATCTTATCTTAATGAGCACTATGGCAACTTCTGTCTCTAATGTAACTGAAATATCATCTTTACTTAAATTATTAAATAATATCCATGTATGTTTAGATTCTATGAGATGTAGATTTATGTATAACTCTGTATGTTACTATTTGATCACAGCCAACTATTACATAATAGGAACTTGAAGCCTGTCAGAAGAAAGATCTACTACCATATTTTTAACCAGAGGCTGTCATGAGTGAATGAAGGAGAATCTAAAAAAAAACGCATGCATCATATGTGTTTGTTGCAGACTGGCAGGAAGCAGAGGAAAGACAATGATATCACTTCATCCCTGATTGTTTTTTATTAGTCCATTTTGCAGACTGCTGACAGGGAGCTTTGCAGCATTGCACGATAACTGTTTCTCAAAGGGAGAAACAAACACACACGGTAAATATTTAACTCTGAGCAGACACATTCTCATGTAAAATATTACTGTTTGTGCTGTTTATGACTATTATTAGTGTGCATATCGTTGGTCTATGTTCACTGACTTTTTCTCAACTAGTCATGAGATACATTTAATTATATATTTTTCTGTTTCCCTGATTTTCTGTCTGATTTTGTAGTTTCAACTTGAGTTTTATGTCTCATGCAAAATTATTTCAGTCATTACTTACTCTTGTATCTCAAAATCTGGTTGTTGTGATATTCTTCTGTGTGTTCCTTTCTAAGTCACCTTTCCTTAAATGCATTCATAATCTTGCGCTTTGGAGTATAGCGCCTGACACTGCAAATTAACACACTTGCGCTTCTGTCTTGCACTTATAAAATATGTGCATGAGACCCTGAGAGCACATCTTTGTCTCGTGGGTTTTTTTTGCAGTAAGAGGTGTTAAGGACAGAAAACTGTCATTGATGTGCAGTGATTTAACAACTGTGGAGTGGAAAACTCTGTCTTAACTTTAGCTTGATTCAATTTTGGTAGTTAGATTAACTATTGATTCTATTTTTTCTACTTAAGTTCTTGTAAAAGTTGCCAAACCACAGTGTAGAAGCAGACAGAGTATTAAACTCTCAGCTGGGACTGCGTATGAGCGCCGCACACACACAAGAAAGCAGTTATATAACATATTTTAACACATACCACACATTAATGCTACAATTGTTTAAGCAACGTGTGCCTCTGAGAAAATTAGTCACGATTTATGGAAGCAGTTCATTTCTTAAGAACATTAAAAGGGTCTCAGAGGGATGATAAGACATTCAGTCTGCCACCCAACATTAAAATCATGCTGGAGTTTCCTAATTTAATTCAAACACTCTGAAATGGAGAAATGTGATTATACTGATCAATGTTTATTAATTTCCTTGAGAGGAAACAAGTATCTACAGAGGAACATCTACAGATGTGAGTTTTTGTCAGGAGAATATGATATATTGCTCAACTATTCTTGGTGATCAGATTGAGGAGTTTTTTTTTCAAATAGAACTTCAGCAAATCTAACCTCTCATAGGTACCCACCTCAAAGGATTAAAGGCCGCTGTGATGATTTGCTGACAAATGAAAGCATTACATGAAATGCTAGTGGAGACTTCTCTTCAGTAGAACAAAAACAAACATCACTGTGCTTGTTTGCAGAGCCCAAAACCAGCTGGAAACCTTAGTGACACATAAAGGATGTACAAGGGGAACAGGATTTTTATTTGGGGTGTTCCAACAAGGGTACCTCATGATTTAATTTGATTTTAATTATGAGAGCTTTGATTCTTCGATTATAATGACTGTTGATCCAATTCTATTATTAGTGCCACAATTCTTTGATTATTGCCATTTTTAATACTTTTTTTCCGTACAAGATTGATTTTGTCGTCATTTGCGGCTACATTTGTAAATAAATAGCCATCAT